TCACTGTAACACACATGTAACACACACACACACACACACACACACACACATATTCTCTGTAATGACAGCAAGGAATAACAAGGCTATTATTCTGAGGAAAAGAAGAGGAGAACATGCTTATACAAGGAAACAAAGGCTGCTACAGTACACACACGCACGCACACGCACACACACACACACACACACACACCAAGTCGGGAACACCAGTGTCTCTCTCATTCCCTGCCTCCCATGAGTTATAAATAGCACACCAACACACACTGGTCCAACATTTACCTACACAGAGCTTTTTGTTTCTGCAGGAAAACCACACACAGATACACACATGCACGTGCGCGCACACACACCACACTTGTAGAGTAACCCAGTGATGTCACTATCAGTAAATTTAACATAAATAGATGTAAATGAATGACGGAGGGATGCAACATGCTTTTCTTGTTGATTTTATACTTAGGAGGTGATTTATAGTTTGCTGAGAGCAAAGGCTTTACTTTAGTTGCCACCTCACTCCTCTACTGACTGTTTTACATGTTACTCAGTATGTACTGCAAAGTATGCAAACAGGGGTCAGAGGGTCAGTTGTTGACTCAACACCAGAACAAAAAGGCATGATGGAAAGCTTCCGTGCTGTAATGAATATTTCTGTCTATTTTTATAAATCTATAACGGAAGTTTGAGGTCCTTATTTATCATCAGCGTACAGCACTCATCTTCATGGTTAAGTCTACTGCGGTTCGTTTGTCGTGATACTTGACCTTGCTTTATTAGTAACCTGTCCAGCAGGTTTAGATAAACACCAGTAACTACATGTACATGAGTCCGTCAGTTGAGGAATAATCTCTTTGACCACTTAGCCACCCTGCTGCCCAATGAGTGGATACATGATGTCTTTTAGAATTGTAAAATAACTGATAATAACATAGTTCCCATGTAGCCAACATGACTTTAAGTTTAGAAACTGTGTAGTGGTTTCGTCTCTGGACCTCTGTGACCACATTTAATCCCTCCACGGTCTCTCTCTCCAAGTTATATGAGGTTCTAATGTTTTAGTTCTTTTAAAAGAATGATATCATGTTACACTTTATTACATCTGCGTGTCGTACTCAGAGAAGAATAACACATTTTGATCCTGTGGTTGCGAACTGTGTTGATTGTATCTAAATAGCACAGTGTTTCTGTGCAAATAGAGCTGGGAAGGTATGCACCAGAGTAACACACAAAGCATGCACACACATGTAGACACATACATTTAAACAACATGTCCATGTGAGAGTAGACTAAAGTAGGGAGGATTTACAGCAATGTGGGGTTTTCTCCTGCTACAGTTCAGAGGGAGCAGGGCCTTCCTCTACTAATTATCTCATGTTTGTTTTAGTTTCACACTAAATCTGACAACAATATGTTCAAATGTCTTTAAAATTATTCTATTATTCATGTAAGTTATATCAAACCCATTTGTGTTAATGATGTTCGTGATCAATTTCAGCTGAATAAAGTTGCCAGTTAGTTCACATATTAGGCTGACAGAATGGCAAGCTGCTGGAATGACACAGCTATGGTGAACTGGGATCATTTGAGAGAGAGAGAGAGAGAAGA